TATTACTATTTCCATGGCAAATGTGCAGACAAGCTACATCCCTTAATCCCACCAGTTCAGACCTTCACGTCTAGGACCTGCCATGCCATATATACAGCATCAACATATTCTCATTCTCTTCATATTCCTTTGGTAAGGACAAAGATCCACTCAGACAGTCTCCCACCCCTGCCTAGAATGGGCACTGTGAAAGACTCCTGAGAGGATGCTTCCCAGATCACTACAGCCTTAACCTCTCCAAGCCTACAATCAAACAAAATCTATTCTACATATCTTCATAATATACCCCGCTTCCTCCTCCCATTATGCCCTTAGAACAATCTTGGCCAGTAACCCTCTACTTTGGGTGGTTCTTGGGCCTTGTATTGGTTGAACAATAGTGTTAAAAAAAATTAATAAATTTATACACTCCTAATGTGGTTAAGACTTAATTTGCATTAACCAATTCAGTGTTATCTTCTTGTTATAAAAATAATACCTGTTCTCTTTCAGTATGCTGACTAAATTTGATCACTTATTTAATCTTTACTTTCTTTGTCATATTTTTCACTCCTTAAGTTCTTCTTGGTTGGATTGTTATTTTTAAACCAATATTATTATTCTTCTGTGTGCTGTCTTCAGGATGTTGCTGATCATGGCTCTCCACAATTTCCTGTCCTTTGTAGCTCTTAATAAATTTTGTCTCTTTGTTATCTCTCCTAAACTTTGTCCTGCCAGCCATTTACTCAAGATCATTAGGTAGGTTATACATGGTTTTCCTGCCCCACTTGCCTTCAATACGTCCTGTGAATATCAAATTTTCTAAGCCCTCTTTCCTCATTATGAGCCTGATGAGTATAAGTGTTCTTTTTGCTTTCATTTTTACTAAAACTTCATTGTTGCTCACATGTTCAGTCCATGGTATTCTCAGCATCCTTCTATAGAATCATATTTCTGTTGCTTCAAGTCTTTTCTTTATCTGTAAGGAGATTGTCCAGCATTCATTTCCATATAGGAGGGCTGACATTTCATAACAGTTCAGTACTATTTTCTTTGTTTCTAAGGAAATTTTTCTGTTTCTTAATAGTTTCATTAGCTTTTGGAAGGTATCTTTTGTTATCTCAATGCACCTTCAGATTTCAGCGTTGCAGCTTATGTCCTCTATCTAAACACTTCCCAGATAACAACCATGCATTGTCTTCTTGCAATTGATATTTAGTTCTTTCTTCAGGTTTTTCTTTACCACCTTCTGTAGAAGGCGCCTATAACTTACTTTCCATGTCTACTATCAACACTGTGACATCTGCATATTTTATGTTAAGATTGTGGCCACCAATACTGAATCTTGGTAGGATTTCTAATTCTCTCAGAATTGCCTCACTGTATAGGTTGAATAAGTCTGGTGAGAAGACACATCCTTGTCTTACACCCCATTCTATTTTTGTATATTTACTGAATTCATTTTCTATCTGTATGCAGGCAGTTTGCTGACAGCATAGGTTCTGGATTTTTCTGGATCTTTCCCCAAAATATCTCAAGGTTACCTATCAGTTCCAACAGTTCTTTGTGACGTACTTTAACAAATGCTTTTGTATAATCTACAAGACATAGTTATTGCTCTTTTTGATATCATTCTGAGTATAAATATATTCCTTCTGTATTCTTTTTTCTTATTAACCCAAGTGCTTCTCCATCTTTTTTCTGTCAAGCGTTACTAAATGTAATTCTCTACTTTACCAGACTGCTTTGCATTTGGGCTCAAGTGCCAGAAGGTCACAACTGGATAATCTGTTTGCAATTATCTACAGTATTATTCTCATTGAGAGTCCTTTTCTTAGCTGTTTGCTAAGACATGAAGTCCTCTGAACAAGTTGAGGTCAGTCCTCTGAACAAGTTGAGGTCAGTCCTCTGAACAAGTTGAGGTCAGTCCTCTGAACAAGTTGAGGTCAGTCCTCTGAACAAGTTGAGGTCAGTCCTCTGAACAAGTTGAGGTCAGTCCTCTGAACAAGTTGAGGTCAGTCCTCTGAACAAGTTGAGGTCAGTCCTCTGAACAAGTTGAGGTCAGTCCTCTGAACAAGTTGAGGTCAGTCCTCTGAACAAGTTGAGGTCAGTCCTCTGAACAAGTTGAGGTCAGTCCTCTGAACAAGTTGAGGTGTTGACTTTAAATTTATCATAATCATAACTCTTATTTTCTGATAATGTCATTTATGGTCGACCATACTTAAAAAAAAAGAAAAAAAAAAAGAAAAAATTACATAATATTTTATATAAATAAATAAAAAAAAAAATAATTTTTAAAATCTTGGTACATAATGATTTGTATTAAGCTTTTCAATTTTTAATTAGTAAATATACTTTTTACTTAATAACAATATCACCTAACTCAAAATTTTAAAAGATTTATATATAAGTTATAATAATTAAAATTAAAAAAATGAAAACAATTCTTGTAAAAATTCATTAGTCATTGAAAAATTTTTTTTCTTAAGACAGTAAATGCCCTCAATAAATCTTATTTATAAAAGCAATTAACATTTCCTAATTAAATAATGTCTTACTTTTATTGCATTTTTTTTATTTTATGATTCAGAGTAGATTTGGGGGAAAAAAAAAAACATTGACAAGGAGTCCTGCTTTTTTTAAGTAATAAAACAAATTTTGCAATCAAAATTTAATTTCTCGAAATTTCATGAAATTAAGTAAGAGGGGTAACATATGTAGAAATGTAAAAAAAAAAAAAAAAAAAAAAGAATAAAACAATACTTTACTTTCTTCTTAATAACAAACATTTTGACAATAGAACTGTTTTTATTAAATTTGGGGGCCTTTTTTCAGTGAATTAGTGGAGGTGCCTAAATAAAGGGGTCAGTTCAAAATTCCCAAATTTTAAAAAAAAATTTTTTTGTTAATCATTTCACCTTAAGCAAAATAACAAAGCCACTTAAACGCAGTGGGTTACCGAGTGTTAAGAAAAAGATAAACATTATTAAAGAGTGAGAATAAAAGAGAAATTAAAAGAGATGGAAGATAACGCTTGACATTTCATTTAAATTTTTGATCACGTATGAAGAAAAATACTTGACGTTTGAATGTACAAAGCACATTAATTTTATTTTATATCCAATTATTTTATAAAAGCAATCTTCAAAATAGCCTTTTTGAGTTATGATTAAATTTAAAAGCTACCTTACTATTTAAAAAAGCATTGATAGTTTCCACAATAGGTTGAGAAAGCCTCAGACATGTAAAAGAAAACTTTCTCAATCATGTACTCTAGAAATTAAATATAACATTTTTAAACTAAAATGCTATTTGTTGGCAAAATGTTTAGTTTATTTATTTACTCTTTACTGTGGTTACAAAGTCAAACATTTATAATTTCAATTTTTTCTCATTTATTAGGTTGTCACATGTGCTTTAAAATGAACAAAACGCTTCTAAAAGGCTAAATAACTAATTTATTTAGTTGAAATCGGCACCATGTTGAATGACTGTTCTCCCACATACCTCTAAAAATTCTTAAAAATAAAAAAAAAATAAAAAATATTCTCATTCTTTGATGTGATACAGTTTAAAATGCTTCGATTACTTTTTCCTTTTTGTATATGGAAAGCTCAATGCTAACCACTACACCGCCTCAAGGTGCCCTACTTAAATAATTATTGTATCTATAAAATTTAAAAATAACGTATAAACAGAAAATATATTAAGATAATTGTCATCAGACTTAGAGTACTTTGCAAAAGCCATCATGACTGGGACTATATTGCATATCTTTCTTTAATGCCTGCAATGAAAGTTCACAATCCCAGATTTTCAAATTCTGTTTTACAAAGATATGTACTGTTACTGTGCATGATCTGGGTGTGCTGAAAAGTTCGTAGCCCGAACCACTTCTCAAAATAAGTATTTCAATGATCAAACATGAAAATATTGATTTTGGGAAGTGGGTTAGACTGAGAAATTTTGAGCACTCACCTCCTCAGTCTAGAATAGAATTCCAATTTCAACTTGTGCCATTAAACAGCAAAATAATACAAAAGGAAAATAATATGTTTGCTTTTTAATGCCAAATATTGTTGTCTTGATAAAAGATAGATAGATAGCAAGAGAGTCAAAAAAGTAATAGACATAGTAAGTCCGATTTATTTGGTTTAAAAAAAAAAAAAAAAAAAAAAAAGACAAGAAGAAATGGTAGGAATAGGACCGATTTGCACAAGAGTCAAAACAGGTGTCCCCCACTTTCAGGTGGTGGCGTATTTCGCTGCATAGATGCAGTCGATGTATTATTCTTGACCCCAACCGACAGGACGAACAAATAAATCAAGGGAATAAATTAAAAAAAAAAAAAAAGAAAAAGAAGATTAGAATTATTTGTTTTTTTTAAATATGAAAATTAAACCGATACTTTTTATTTTGATTAATTTTAAACTTAAATATTTAAAAAGTTTTTAAACTAAGTTTAAAAAAATTAATTACGAAACCGAAAATAGATTTTTTCGCTATCCTGAGGCTAAGAGAACTAGAAGCAGGAGTAAAAAGTATAAGCAAAATACGAAAAGCTAACATAAATTAGTACAACTGATATTAATTTTCCTTTTATTCCATCGATATGAATTTTAATATCACTCATTATTGCACAAGTAATAATAGTGTTTTTGAAAGCATGTCCTTCAGATAAACTAAACAAAACCGAAGGACGAATAACGTCCTCGTAACAAAAAAAAAAAAAAAAGTGAAAACTTTTGTAACTTCAATTTAAAGCATCAACTAATTGGTTAGCAAGTGGCTGATGTTACTCGTAAATAATCAACAACGATTTATACAAACTGAAAGGAAAAAAATGTTGATTAATTTCATAGAAGTTAAATGGTTTTTTTCTTTTTCGGCATTCTCTTAAAAATGGTTTTAACCATGTTACAGTCAAAGAATTATTATCACGCACACATAAAAACATCAGAAGTTATAATTTTTGTTTCAGACAACAATATTGTAGCTTAGAATACTAAAATATAGCTTACCATCCATATATCGACTGGAAGATCAGTTAGTTTATTTTCATTCTCCTTCGTCTTGCCGTCATCTTTGGGAGCCGCCATATTGAGTTTACCACAAGCAACTGTGCAGCGACCAAAATATCACAGGACCTCATCTTATCAATTGAGTTATTCAAAAATAATACAACAAAATAAATTATTTGATGAGTAAATTTTTTTTTAAAGTATTAATTTTATCAAAAAATGCAATAAAACCTAAATAAAGAAAGAAAAAAATGTATTTTGGTCATTTAAATTGAGTATTTGGAATTAATTTTCTTCAGTTTTCTTTATTGGTTTAACCAACAATGAACTTAAAATTTTTTATTTGTAGTTAATGTAGTTCCTTAAGCAATCTAATTTTAAATTTGATCTTGACTAGTCGGTTTTCAAGAGAGAAATTTTGAGGTGGAATTTCAAATTGTAAAACAGATAGATAACTAAAATCTATGTAACTTAGAAGAATGAATATTTTTAGATTTATAGGAAGAATAATCAAAGGAGTTAATTCAGACTTTTTGAGTTATTTCCTATTTGGTCTTCATTACAAAAAATAATGTAACAGTTATAAAAATAAAATTCTTTTGAAAATGTTTCTGATACAAAAATTGTAATGTAGTGAGTGTGAAATAATAATCACTCCCTTTACACACTCTCTTCAAATTCAGAGGACTGAGGAAAAAGACGAAAAGGAATTTGCAAGCTTATATGAAATTTTCTTTGGACAAATGAAAACCTTGCCTTCAAAGAAAGTGACTGGTGAGCTGAAAAGAAAGAGGAAATAAATTTGTGAGCCTATGTGAAATTGTTTTGGACCAGTGAATATGTAATGGGGTTGATGTTAATGACATGAATTAAAATGCATAAAACAATAACAACAATAAAAACTTGAGACACGTATTGACATAAATAACAAGAATTTGTATTTTCTTTTTGTGATGTGAATTACAGAATATTGGTATGGTGTGTGTAAAAATGTTCTCAGTGTCTCTTTTGTTTAAAAGTCAGTGTGTGATGTCACCCTGGTCCTCCCGTGCTATCTTGTGACGATCTAACTCTTGGCTGATTCGGATGGAAATCTGGTTAGATTTGGCATCAGCTTTGTCATTCTCAGCTCGCCTCCAACCTCTGGTTACTGAAGTAACTGCTTTGATTTCTAGTCTAACCTACCCACGTTGTGATTTGATCTTAGGTAGACAAAATCAATCAGGCGTCAGGCTGTAGTACAAGCTGAATTTGGGGCAAAGGTGACACCGCACAAGTATATGTAAAAGAAAATAAAGTAACAACTCGAAAGATTCAAATGTGTTAAAAAGAATACCAAGTATTTTTATATCTGGTTGCTGAATACAGGACTGCATCTTTCTCCCAAACCACTTCTATGGATACATGACACTTTGTGTTTCTTAGGCGAGTCTTAATATCTTAAGTTGTTTTTCAATAAACTGGTTTTTGGTATCTTCAGGCGATATTCGTAAAACTTGTTTTGGCAGTGTGAGTCTAAGTCATTCTTCAAAAAAAAATTGTTTTTGGTTAGAAGTCTAAGTCAGAATGCCTGGAAATCTTTCAGTTAGCTTTTGCGAGGCTGGTCTCTGAGCTCACAGCTCAACTCTGTGACTCCAACTGTTTTAGGGGGGTTCTTAAGGGAATTGTCCTCCCAAACTCTTCCTTTCTCATATTGGTATCTCACACCAATCCCCTCAGAGGGCGTCAACAGGTTTCCCTTTTTTCTCATATGTTTACCTTCGCCCATCGCTCACGCCACCATTCAGCCAATGAACGCTCGGCTAGACTGGCCTCAGTTTACAATTATCGCTCAAAGAAAAAAATTATCTTCCTTTTTCTTTTCTTTCTTTTTCACCGACTAGAACCCCCATGAATCGTACTGTGGACATTAAATCTCTATCTTAACTTGATGTCATCTGGGATTCATCAACGGGATTTTCGCCAAGTTATTATCTAGGTAGTCAACTGAATCCCTTTGTCTTCTTCAACATCATCGCATTCTGTTGCTAACAGTCTGTCCAGGTAACAAACTTTTATCATGGCAAGTTCTGGACATAACACAGGTGGTTCTCCTTCCAAAATCAAATGATATCTCTGAAAGATAGTTAATGGCTTATTCTTTTTCTCTTCTTCCTTCCTTTTTCTTTGGGGTGGTCTCTCCTGATTCTTTCTCGGGCGCGTGCTTGACCCAATTTTCGATTATCTTCTAGCATTCTGCTTTGTAAGCCTCTTGACCAATTTGAAATTTTCATTATTGCCATGGGCAGATTGCTGTCTGCCTTTCCTCGCCGTGTCATGGCATAAATTAATTCTGACAGATCCGAGATCTTACGAATTTTCTATCTTCTGCGAAAAAATACTTTTCTTCGCAAATGAAAATAAAAATAAAATCTTTACCCATTTTTCTTTTGTTAAAAAATTAACATCGCTCAGTATGTCTCTCGTGATAGCTTCTTATCGCCTTAAGTATTTCTCACTTTTAATTTCCATGCTTAATTAGTTAGCCAAACGCTAAATAGTGTCACAAGTGCTTACTTGGTTTGGTTCTGAGAAGTTCATTTGTGAGGATGACATCTGTTTTTGATCTTCACAGAGTGGTGGCAGATGTGTGTTTCTGTACTGCTACTTGCCTACTCATCACTGACTACTGCTACAGGTACCTTAGTCTACTCTACTATTCTCTACTCTACTCGCTTGTGGTGAAAGGTCATTTTTATAATGATGAGGGTTAGGATGATGAAATACCCTTCTTTTCTATCATCATTGATGACAAGGTTATTTTTAGAATGATGAAATATCCTCATCAATCTGGACCATAACAAATACCTTGTCTTCACAAAATTAGCTGTTGAGCCAAGAAGAAAAGAAAGTAGTAAGCCTATGCAAAATTCCTTTTGATATAAAATGAGGAGAAAAATTAAATTAATAAGGGAAAGTGTCTGAAATCATGTGAAGAGTTTTGTTTCAGTTCTCTGTGACCAGCGTTGATGCAGTGTAAAATTATTCATAAATTATATTATCAGCCTTTAACCAAGCAGATGGCACTTCAAAGAACTTTCTCTCAATAATCCAAGAAAATTAAGTATTTCAAACTATCTCTTGCCAACTTCTGAACGGATGTAAACCATATATCTCTTCTGTGAGCAACAAACTCTCTTACGTTTGTTATAAACATTTTGAATATTATTTTGTGTCAGATCATTTAATCTGTTGTATGAACATTTCCTCATGACAATTTGTTAAAACTATGGACTTTAAAAATTTCTGATTTATTTTCTTGAAATGAGGTACTAATACAACTTCAAGCACGTGAATTCATAAATAAAGTCCTTGTTTTGTTAAAATTACCCATGTTTCTTTGTCTTTACCATCCTCCATTAATCTTCTCGGTGTAGGTAAATCAACTGTTCATTTTAACACCTAAGCTGCATACCACTATAGCATTAAACTTTACATTTGTCACTTGTTCAAAAATCTTTATTTAATAAAAAACAAAACAAAAAAAACATCTCTTTTGTCATTAGCAACCAAAAGAATTTAATAATCTCAATGAAAAATTAAGTCATATTTTCAAAAATAAATATTCATTGTAAATTTTTGCCTGTGAAATCTGAAAAAAAATTAATCAAATGATACAAACACCAATTCTCCACGGAAAATATTTTTAAACTTTTGCTGAATTATTTTTATAAATTTTCATTAAATTTTTATCTATAATGTTTGTAAATTAAATTTTTTCAGTGATTCCTCAATTATCTGTATCACGATTGTTTGGAGTTCGATTATGTTACCCAGACAGAAAAAAAATTGAAATGATTCAAGCAATTCAGTTATCCAAACTAAACCCATAGATAAAGAAAATGCTGAAGAGGATGTTGATAATGATATTGCTCATGTTGAAGTTTAACAACCCCAGTGCCAAATTTCAAGCACAAGCAGTCATTATATTTGACTTTGAGGAATGCTTAAGTTTGAGTTAAGTTTACTTAAGCACTTTCAGCCAGAATCTATCCTGACAAACTACTTTAACTCAGCTTTGGTAGTTAACATCAGATAAATGCTAGCTTGAAACAGACAAAAATAGATACATTTTCTCATATATATAAACTGGACAAAATCTTGAACAAAGCCTTTGAAAATGTTATGTGACAATTTTCTTTCAAAAAATTATTTTTTCTTCATTCTTTTTAAATAATTTATGCATTCAATTATCCATATTTTTTCAAACATTGACCCAAGGTGTCTTGATAATAGTTGTAAGTACTGTACTAGAGTTATCGTTCTTGCACTGGTTGTGACTTTGTTATGACCATGGCAGACAAAAGATGTCTACAAAACTTAAGCTGAAAAGACTGACTTTATCAAAGGACAGAGTAAAACAATAATAAATGGTTACACAGTAAATATTCACCTGTGAGGAATTAATGTAAGATAAATACTTAAATATGCCACTGTTTTCTTACATCATAAAGTGGGGCATTGTTCTTGTGTTATTAAGTAATAAACTGATCCTCTCAGATTTACTAAATAATAATAATTGAAAAATATTCATGCAAAGGAAAGCAAGAAGAAAGGACTAAACATTAATTATAAGAAAACAGAATATATGGTTGTCAGCAAAAAAACAGCCTTATATGCAAATTACAAATTAGAGATACTGAAATCAAACAAGTGGAGTAATGGATAGCGGCTCGGATTGAAGAATTGGAGAGCCGAATTTGAATTCCATTCAAATCCATTACATTCACTTACATGCTAATACCCTTGGGAAAGGTATGAATCCTCTTTTCCCCCCAGCTATGGGTAAATAGCAGGAGAGACCAGGTTCTGTAGCCTTAGATGGAAAATGGTCTACCACAGAAAGAAATAGCAACCTACTGCGAGAAAAAAATCTGCCTCGTCAGTCATGTATTGAAAGATACATGATTGCCTAAGCATGTATCACACATGGCACATAACTGACTGACTGACAAAAACTGAAATATCCAGGAAATGTTTTAACAGAGGATACAAAATGCAACACAGAAATCTGAAGGCACATCGGGATAGTAAAAGATGCCTTCCAAAAGATAAGCAA